GTGGTCCTAATATTTTTTCCAAAGAAATTCCGATGGTGTTATAAGACAAACCCCTCTTATTGTCAAACTTAATTTTCCATATTAAGATCCTCGATAGACCAAAACAATTGCATAGCATATCGTCCGACCGAGTGACCCAGAACCGATCCATCACGTATCGCGACATTTTTTATACTTAATCACGATAATGTAGTACGCCCGAGAACCCGTGGAAGAGCCCTATTCCCCAATTCTTTTGTCTGTCCTAATCCCCCTTTTTAAAAAAAAAAGGGATAATGATACAAACAGTCCCTGAACTTTGGCCCAATGTGCAATTTGGTCCATGAACTTTTAATTTGTTTAATGTAGTCTCTGAACTTTAATCTAATGTGCAATGTGGTCCCTGAACTTTTAATTTGTTCGATATCATCCCTGAACTTTTGGTACATGTTCAATTCAGTCCCTGAACTATGTGAAAATATTCAATGTAGTCCCTGAATTTGAATTGACGGAAAGGACTGCATTGAACATTTTCATATAGTTTAGGGACTGAATTGAACATGTACCAAAAGTTCAGGGATGACATTGAACAAATTAAAAGTTCGGGGACCACATTGCGGCTCCTTAAAATAAGTTGAAGCTCCACAAAATGAAAAGACACCGGCATATTCTCTAGAAGTATTCCCCATCGAAACATTAACGTCAAACACACACGGCCTAAAGAATCACTGAAGAGTTCTTAGGAAACAACTTCGGTGGTTCCCAAAGACACTTCCTTTCTCCAACCAATACGACGATTTGGTTCATGGTGTGACTTGAACTTTGTAATGCTGTGAGGTATATGATTAAGGAAAAGGTGCTAGACCCCAAGTGACATCCTTGGCTTTGATGTTAATCCATGATCTCGATATGCCTTCTAGCAAATCGACTCTAAGAAGAAGCTTGCCTACGTGATAGAGCCTTAGAAAGTGTGAATGAAAGCGATATATCGCTTCCCTGTAAGAGAAAAGCTATGCATATTAAACTAGGTTCACAAGTTCACATGTTATATGTGATGTTAGGATCCATGATCCCCAAGTGACATCCTTGGCTTTGATGTGGATCCATGATCATGATCTGCTTTCTAGAGAATCAACTCTAAGGAAAAACTCTAAGGAAAAACTTGCCTAAGTGAGCCTCTCCCTGGCTGGGCAAGAGCCACCCTCGCCGATCTTTCGAGGGTAGCCCTCATCGGGCCTCACCCTCGCCTATGCGACGCCCGTCGAGGCTACCTTGGCCTGGGTGAGGGGTGGCCTCACCAGATTTGGCGAGGTGGGCCGTCGCCCTCGCTGGCCATTGCCAAAAGCAAAAGGGAAAGAAAAAAATTAAAATTTAAAAAATTAAAAATTATTAAAAAAATATTCACGTCAGTGCCGGTCGTGCCACGTAAGACCACTGTACCACGTAGGATCACCGGCATCCATGTTAGTAATTTTTGGACTGAATTGGCCGATACCAATGTGAAAAGGTTTTGGACTAAATTTAGTCTAATTGAAAGGTTTATGACTGAATTGGTACCAATGCAATATGTTTATGACTTTTTTGGTACTCTTCCCTTTATACAAGTGGAATATCTTCAATACTAAATAGCAATCCGCTACCCATCGCATCTCACGCACCAATTTTGTGAACCTACTTTAATATACATAGCATTTTTCTTATAGAATTAGTTTAGAGGGGAGCAATATATCGCTTTCATTCACACTTCCTAAGGTTCTATCACGCGGGCAAGCTTCTTCTTAGAGTCGATTCTCTAGAAGGTAGATCAAGATCATGGATCCACATCGAAGCCAAGGATGTCACTTGGGGTCTTGCACCCAGTTTTAATAGATTGAGATCGAGATCATGGATCCACACATCACATATCGCATGTTAATTTTGTGAACCTAGTTTAACATGCATAGCGTTTCTCTTAGAGGGGAGCGATATATCGCCTTCACACATAATTTCTAAGGTTTTATCACGTAGGCAAGTTTATTCTTAGAATCGATTTTCTAGAAGGCAGATTGAGATCATGGATCAACATCAAAGCCGAGGGTGCCACTTGGGTCCAGCCCCTTTTCCTTAATGATATGCCTAACGACATTTTTTACCCCCTAGGGACAAACTTCGAGTCACATCATGAGCCAAATCGTCGTTCATTGGTTGGAGAGAGGATGTGTTTATGGGAACCACCGAAGCTGTTTCCCAAGGACTCTTCAAAGATCCTTTGGGCCGCGTGTGGTTTGCCGTTTATGTTTCGGTGGGGGGAATACTTCTAGAAAATATGCCCGTCTATAAGGAGCCGCAATTAGAGGAGACCTGCTTGATGAGGAAATAGGAAAGCATAGGGATTCTAGACTCTTTGTCAATGTCATGCATAGTATAAATTATAAGCAGAAAAATTAGAGAAGAGGTTCTCCTATCGCGGGATCTAGAAATTATCCCTACTTCTATTATTCTATAATCAATTTAAAAGGTGTATTTATTTGAGTGAAAGAATTTTCTGTAAAATAGTTTTGTAGACTTTCAAGCGTTTAATTTGCTGAAAATAATCAGTCAACGCAAAATCATTTATGATCAAAGAAAATATGTTTTTTTAAAATTAGAAAAATGAATTCCCTAATCTGAAAAGGGAAAAACACTTTCTTGAAAAATGATTTGCTAGAAAACTTTTTCCTTAAGGCTTGTTTGTTTCGGCAAAAGGATTTTCTGCGAATTAGTTTTTTGGACTTTTTTGAATTTTCTGCAGATTAGTTTTTTGGACTTTTTTCACATATTTGGTTTGTTGAAAATGATCAGTCAATGGAAATTCATTTACTATCAAAGAAAATATGAATGCATAAAGTTAGGAAAATAAATTTCCTAACCATAAAAGGGAAAAAAATTTCTTGGAAGGTAATTTTCCGAAAAATATTTTTATTTATCATAAAGTTTCCCCGAAACAAACACATCCATCATGGTGGTACAAGTACAAAAAAAGGGAGATCCATAAGCACTTGTAGAAAAAAAAAACCCAATTTTCAAAAGATTAATCACGCGCGCATATTGCCAGAGAAGTAATTGCATCAACGATTGTCGTATTAGCTTATGTCGATTACCTAACCAGTGCCGTTAATAGCCTTCTATGCCAAAACCCATCAAAGATAACATCAAACTCGGACTCGAAAATCATAGGCGATAACGACATATTTAAGGTGTACGGCGAGCTTACAACGGGACGTGGACACCTCATTTGATCGCACACCTTAATTGCATCACAACAGCCTACGGTCCTAATACATCAATAGCTTTGTTTCGAACGTATCGTACTGATTATCGATTATCATGTAATGTCAGAGTCACCGTTGTCTTTTTAAAGCATATCAAATGGTTAACAAACCGAGATGCTAAATTTACAACAAACCCTAGCCAAGTTGGTGTTCATGAATGTCGCATTCACATGTCCGTGATCCTTTGCGTGATTCCCTTTTTTTTTCCCTTTGATTAAAGTATAACACTGACAGATGCTTGGGTCAAATTTGGAAGGGCCGTCACCTAGTTTTACCTGGTCCATCACCTCATACGATCATATCATATGTTTTGTTTTTTTTTTTTTTGCTCTCGACGATCATATCATATGTTAACCTACCAAATACTTTTATGCTGCACGAGTCTCCATGTTCTTTTGGACATTTCTGTCATGCTCTGTTCGCGTCCCTTTTCAAATGCTTATCATATTCGCCCCAACCCTCCATTAAAATAATTTCTGAATGGTTGTTGATTTTTCTCCAATACGATATAATATAATTTTAATTTATAGTCCTGCAAATTTTCATGGTCCAAAAGATGTCGTCCTTTCTTTTTATCATTTTTCCTCCTCTTAAATCAGTGTATTTTCTAAAAAATTATCAGTGTATTTTCTCAGCCTCGCCTTTTATATACCAAGTCACTTTCATCCTTCTTCGACCAAAAAAAAAAACAAGTTCATCCTTCAGGTCCGGTAAAGAAATGTGAATTATAAATGAACAAAAAAATATCTACAATGAGGGAAATAGTGATGTTAAGGACATGGATACTCGATTTGCAATAGCAGTTTATAAAAGAGATGCAAATCATAAATAGATATATAAACAGGTTAATTATGTTAAATAAGGACAAAATCATCCAACCATTTTACTAACCGGTTTTCTAGTTTATATTACGCAATATCACGCAAAAATTCTGGAGTGTCTATGTTCGTTTAATGTATTTTGTTTGGAGCTTATTTATGAGTTCTGGAAGCCTCAGCCAGTGAGTACTTCAAAAATGGAAAGAAAAATCTTCTGAGATAAACAGCTAAAATTGGAATATGGTATATTGTAACATTTTCATCTAGTATAATTGTGAATACAAAGGATACGTTTAGCAACACGATTGGTAACGTCATAATTGCCATTAAATATCTTTCCATCTAATTACTCAATTAATTTTTCAACTGTTCAAATCCTTTTCGAGTGGTCCTAATATTTTTTCCAAAGAAATTCCGATGGTGTTATAAGACAAACCCCTCTTATTGTCAAACTTAATTTTCCGTATTAAGATCCTCGATAGACCAAAACAATTGCACAACATATCGTCCGACTGAGTGACCCAGAACTGATCCATCACGTATCGCGACGTTTTTTATACTTAATCACGATGATGTAGTACGCCCGAGAACCCGTGGAAGCGCCCTTGTTCCCCAATTCTTTTGTCTGTCCTAATCCCCCCCTTTTTTTAAAAAAAAATTAGGAAAAACACATTTGATTCCTTGCCCATCACATATTCAACTGGGCCAATAAGGATTTCTCGAGAATTTTTAAGTCCATGCAATCAAAAAAGAAAACCAAAAAAATAAAAAGAGAAGTGGGAAATGGGATGTGGAATGGAATGTGCATAGGAAAGGAAGACCAGACTGGAGCTGAATCTTCAGTCTTTGACTCACTCTCTCCATCTCCACCGCGTTATAAAGAAGAAGACGAAGTTTCTCTTTCTCTCCCTCTCCTTTATAAACTCCGCTGACCTTCCTCTGTTTCCATCCATCCCCACCTCAAAAGTTACAGCGATTTCTCAACTGCATTTCCATATCCAACACACACCCATCTCTCTTCTCTTCTCTCCTCTCTCTCTCTCTCCCTAGCTTCTCTGCCATTCCAATTCGATCTCTCGCGCGCGCGCGCGCTCTGTGGAGTCTCAGATCCTTGGCAGATGAGAGAATGGGGGTACAGCTGCCAATGTCGCGGGCCCTGAGGTACTACCTGTCCGAGCACCCGTCCATCGTCAACTTCCGGTGGAGCCACCACCTCTGGGGCTCCACCTGGTCCTTCCTCCTCGCCGCCGTCGCCGCCTACGTCGCCGCCGCCTCCGCCCTCCACCTCCTCCTCCTCCTCCTCCTCCCCCGCCCCCGCCGCCGCCCCGTCCCCCTCGGGCCCCTCCCCGCCCTCCACAGCCTCGCCGTCGCCGCCGCCTCCGCCGCCGTCTTCGCCGGCATGCTCCTCTCCGCCTCCGCCGAGATCCGGGACACCCGGTGGCTGTGGCGGCGGTCCCGCACCACCCCCATCCAGTGGCTCTTCTGCTTCCCCCTCGGCACCCGACCCTCGGGGCGCGTCTTCTTCTGGTCCTACGCCTTCTACCTCTCCCGCTTCCTCCACCTCCTCCGCACCTTCCTCACCGTCCTCCGCCGCCGCCGGCTCACCTTCTTCCAGCTCTTCAACCAGTCCATCCTGCTCTGCATGTCCTTCCTCTGGCTCGAGTTCTCGCAGTCCTTCCAGGTCCTCGCCATCCTCTCCACCACCCTGCTCTACGCCGTCGTCTACGGCTACCGGTTCTGGACCGCGATCGGCCTCCCCGGCGCCAGGTTCCCCTTCGTCGCGAACTGCCAGGTGGTGCTGCTGGCCTGCAACCTGATTTGCCATTTCGGGGTCCTCTTCTTGCACTTCTTGAAAGGCGGGTGCAACGGGATCGGAGCCTGGGTGTTCAACTCGGTGTTCAATGGCGCGATCTTGTTCTTGGTGCTGAAGTTCTACGTCAAGGTGCAGCTCAAGTACCGGAAGGTCGGTGCGGTGGCGGAGCAGGAGGACGACGGGTCGACGGCGCCGGCGCAAGCGGGTTCTTCTGGCACGGAGACGAAGATCGCGAGAGAGAAACATCATTGATCGGTTCATGGTCCCTCTCTCTCTCTCTCTCTTGTTGGGATTGTGATTTCATCTTTCCGGCAAATCTGGTAACTGCGTTCGCCTTCTGGGTGTCCTGATTCTTGGTTTTTCGATCAGTTTTGGGTCAGTTCTCGTAGGAATTTGTTTTGTTTCTCCAATTGTTATTTTGTGCAGAACAAACGGGGATTGCCCCCATTCTTTTCCTCCTTTTTTTCTGTATCTTCTTTTGTTCAGAGCGAGGAAGCTGTAAATTAACGACGATTTGACGAGGAATATGCAAATTTCTTAGCCTTCTCTTCTTTTGTCCCATTCTCATTCTTTGAATGTAGTTTAACAAATTGTAATGAGAAAATCTGTAGTCTATTTTAGTCGGTTTGATTTGTGGGGGAGTTTACGTGTCCAAAGGGGAGATTGGACAATATTATGTATGGTCAACAACAGTATAACGTGAAAGCGTTGGACAGTCCTCTGAATTCTAAGCCCCTCTCTGTTTGAATCTCTCTTTTGGCAACTGATGTTCAAAAATTCCTTGGTCGTCATTTCGAAATGATAAGATATGGATAGGTATTCATTAATTAGGAATGAAAGCTAGTAATGTTGTACGTTAATTTCACCGGCCACTCAAACCATGGATTTATTTTTGGAAGCACACCCCCTAAAGCGTCGATTGACACATGTATCCTAAAAAATCTGATCTATTATGGAAAGAAATCACCAACACGAAGAAAAAGGAAAAGAATAGGGACAATGACATAAATAGTTTCTAAAATTTGGCTCAATGTATATTATGGTCCTTGAACTTTTAATTTGTTCAATATGGTTCATAAACTTTTTATACATATTCAATGTAGTCCATAAACTACATGATAATGTTCAATGTTGTCATTCCAATAAATTCAAGATCGTGGACAACATTGAACATTTTTTATATGAACATATACTAAAAGTCTAGGGACCTCATTGAACAAATTAAAATTTCATGAACCATATTAAACAAATTAAAAGTTCAATGACCTCATTACACTTTAGGCCAAAGTTCAGGGACTATTTGTGTCATTTTCTCAAAAGAATATGCAAAGCAATAGTCGAAAACCTAGTGAATATGCGAGCGCCATTCTTCTTCTTCAATCTAGCATTATCTCTTGAGCATGGACGCCGACACAGGGCTACATGTTCTTGAGCAAGGGTGAGCATGGTTCCAAGATAGAACCTGGAACTTGAGAACCTATAGGTTCTAAGTTTCAAGGTATGCAGGTAGGTTCCAATTTCTAAATATTAAGAAACCTGTTTCGACTAGTATATTCCAGATTCTAGGTAGGTGGCACCTAGAACCTAAAACTTTAAACAAATTATTTATTTATTTATTTTGTCTATATCTTCACGTGATCATGTGGTATTTCATGATGTTAGATGATGAGTGTATAATCTAGAACTACTAGTTTGAGCTTTCATTTTATGACTCGTTAATGCTTTATATTCTTTGTATCTCTAGATATAAATTATGATCAGTGGATTGTAACAGCAAGTAGTGATTATTAAAGGTAATGATTCACTTCAATTGTTCAATTAATAATACAAGTGGAACCTATGTAGACCCTGAAACCGATCCTAGAACCTGTAACAAGATAGATTCCAGATTTCAAGGTATATAGGATAGGTTTCACGTTTCAAAAATGAGGAGTTCGTTATCATGAGTAGGTTACAGGTGGAACATGTACAAAACTTGGAACCGCTCACCCCTATTCTTGAGCATGGTCGTACCTACGGTGGAACATCTGACGTGCCTAGTCGTGGAGTTACTCGAGAATGGTTTGAGCTTCAATCGACTAAACACGTTGAACCTGATAAAGGATATTGTAAGGCCAATAATTCCAGCACCTCTCTCGGCCTCAGTGCAAGAGCAAGTGAAGGGCCAAGTAACCGAGCCTCATGGGGTCGCAAATGGAGGTGAAATGTTTCTAGGCCAGCCCGAGGGTAAGCGAAATGAGGTTTATGGACCAACTAGCATGACCCCAACAGATAAGATCTGGCCAAATCGCGCAATTGGTGCAAACGAACATAGCCCCCACCCACCCACTCACCCCCCGGCACGTGCGCGTCTGACGACCACCCATGGGCCTTTCACCCACTAGGACCACTAACCTCGTCGCAACCTTGCCATTTCCTCTTTATTTTTCTCGAAATGTCAAGCGCATTTATCCACCTTGCTCTGCTGAAGATTGGGCCTTTTTGTTGGCTAAGATCAATTGAAGATACGGATCGCCATAGACCAGGCTTAATTATGGCACGGAGATGTAGACGAGCTGTTAAAAGATGTTTTTCACCGAATGCGTGCTTCCGATTGTTTTGGCTTCACCTCTTTGCCAGGTTCTAAAAATGCAACGTGATTTTCCAATGAAAGCCGAGGAGGGTTTATGGTAATTTCCCTTTTTGTTTTTCTCATTGGCATTTGTTTACAGAACTACTACTATTTCTTTTGCTAAATCAACATATAAACTAGACCCGTCAAACGGGTCAGGTCGAGTCGAAAATGGTCCGATCCAAATTAGCCCATTTAAACTGTTTTTCCATATTTATATAATACAAATCTAGTAAGTTATATCCAACCCTATGTCCAACCCTACTCATATTGTTAAAAACTCACATATATAACATAATTAAGGAAAACTCATACCCAAACTGAGATAAGAGCGCAGGGTGAGCGAGTGCGAGATCGAGTGAAGGCAAGAGAGAGTCAAGAGGTAAGTTGGGTATGAGTAAGTTGTAAACCCAGTTTGGGCTTTATTCTTCTAAACTATTGATAACCCATTTACTTGATATAAGTAATCCTTATAACAATTTAACTCATTAAATATGAGTTAATAAATGAATTTATGATTCATTTTGATAAGTCTAGCAATGCAAATAGGGAGGGAAAGGAAACAGAGAGAGCACAGCTGCATAAGGAGATGCAACTGGGTTGTTCCAAAATATGCTGCATTTCCCAAAGAATGTGCTACTACACGCTGTTCTGTCTGTCTACATCCTCAGCTTAATCAACGGGAAGAAATAGGCCCTGTGCTACGCCCTAAGAAAGGAAGCACTTGTTCATAGAACAGCGGCCTAGCTCGGCCCTACTCAGTAACGTTGGATACGTGTTGGACCGAGATGAACTATATCAGAGGCCCACGTACCGACCATGTTGAACTGACCTTTGTGAATTTGATTCGATCTGTCTTTTTCCTCGGGCTACAACAAGTTGTTTCTTGTTTATGTTCTCCCGCAATAAGCACATATTCTGACTGCCCTTTTCTTTTTATCTAGTGCTAAATGATCGTGGACTTTGGCACGGTGGAATTTGGACATATTTACAAAACCCACTTGCTCTCAAATGTGATTCATTGAGGAGAATGTTGATAAGTTGGTTCCACCAACTCTCTTCTATTTCTATTGGAGCAAAAAGAAGAACGTTTCCCCGTTATTAGTTTGTTAGATTTTCTTTGATGCCGGACAGCTAGTTCAGTTGAAGGGCGGGTCAAAAGACGGAAGGCTATAATGATTGATATAATTGTCAAGATCCGGTGAATCACCCACGCGAACACGGGAGCTGCTACTGAGCAAGCGATGCCGCTTTACCTCGGTACCAAAGAGTTTCCAAACCATCGATTTGGTGAACGTAGGACGATAATGGACCATTGCCTCGACTTCCATAGAAAGAATTGAAATTCTTTGAAAGTCTGAACTTAGCTAAAAGTTAGGCCGATACAATTAAGTAAAGATTAAGAGAGTCATCCCCGTCATAAAGGGGCAAATGCCACTTTTAGTTATGAACTCACTCACCTTCTTATTGTTATTCATGTTTTTTTACATAAAGCTCTCTTTAGATGTATCTACTCTATCCAATGATCTGAGCACTTGGTTGTTTATGCTACCAAAAAATTGACTGGTTTAGAGGTTAGAATAATAACATGATAAGTTCAGACGACGTTGCACATACGAGAAACTTCATTGGAGATCGATTGCTAGAAAGAAGGAAAGTGAGCCGAAAACAACAGGGGATCCTTTTTCTTGCCATATCTGTTCGAACAGTCTCTTATGTACAAAAGTGAAGAGAGACATCTCTACGATACAAGAGATCCTGCGGTAGAGTCATGTTCTTCTTCTAAGTTGACCTAATCGTTTGCTCTCTCAAACGCACTGCAGTCAAATTCCCCAGGAAAAATTACTCAGGTTGCACTCGAAAAGTCGTGAAAACTGACGTAAACTCCGTCGATCGTTGGTAATGTTCCCCCTCAAACCTTCAATTAGATGAACTCCAAGAAAAATGGATGAGTTCCCATGCACGACGGCGGCCGAAAAAACTAGTTACTCATGTCTTAACTCTCTCTCCCTTAACAATCATGGCGACCTTATTATTTAGCCACAAATGGTTAGTTCCCTTTTGTCTTTTGTCCCCTCTCACGGTCTTTCCCGCAAGGACTGGGACTCGTCCGGGTAAAAAGCGCAGCGGAGCTCGCGATACCGGCCGGCATCAAAGTTGTGGACCCTCATGAGCTTCTGCTGCTTGGTCTTGAAGCGGCGCTGGAAGTACCCTTCGTAGGACGGCTCCGTGGAGGTCCGGAGGAAGAAGCCGTAGGCGAGGGCGACGTGGAGGTTGGTGAGGAAGAAGCAGATGGGCTCCATGACGTCCCAGGTCAGCTCCCAGAACGTGAGCCGCATGAGCACGAGCGTCTGGGCCACCAGGAAGCCGAGCCCGCAGTACAGCTCGCCCTTCACCTGGGCCCGGGCCTTCTCGTCGATCAGGGCCTTGTGCTTCTCCATCTGCTCCAGCTCCCTCCTCCTCGGGTCGTTGGGCCCGGCCATGGATTGGTAGAGCTGCGACTCCACTGACTTAGCCACCTGCGAATTAGTGAATCGATTGCAACTCATTAGATTAGGTGCAAGAATGGAGATAATCTCAATCTCGGCTTCTTCTCGTCTTGTTAATGAATGTACCAATTAAGGACGAACTCCGGTCGAGTTAAGCCAACTAAGGCGATAGGATATGACGGGCAAGACTCGCCGTGCCCTGGGTCTTACTTCCTTAAATGCATGGGCAAGGATCCAAATTCAAACAAGGAAACTTAGTAAAGGTCATAACTTTGCTGCCCAAATTGGCGCTAATGTATCTCATTGCATAAGCCCAGGATGGCAAAATGATAATCATAATTGCATTAATCTCTTGATCCCTTTTGGCCATTGATGGTAATCGTCTTCATCAAAGTAGACCTTAACTAAAAATTTGTCATTTAGGGGCATTGATCGTTAAGGCCTCTGTCATGGTTGCCTGAACAGGAACACTCCTCTGTTTTCTTCGTTGTTTCATGAAGTTTCGAGTCAATCCATGGAAATGAAAAAAAGGGAATGATGTATATACCTGCTCAGGCCTGAGAAACACGACATTGCCGAGAACGATGACGTTGCCGGACTCGTCCAACGCCTTCGCGAACTCGGCACCTTCTTCCTCGCACCCCCCGCAGGCCTGGTCGCAGATCCCCACGAACTCCTCGTACGAGATCGAGCTCGCGCCGATCCCCCTCAGCTTCGCCCTGATCGTCTCCGCCCGCCACAGCCTCAGCAGCCTCCTCGCGTCCCCCACCGACACCCCGGCGAGCGGGTCCCCTGCCACCGGCGGCGAGAGCCCGCCGAGCCGGAGGCGCTCCCCCCCACCACCGCCGGCGGGGCCGTTGAGGCTCCGGAGCCTCTCGCGGAGCTTGTCCCCGACCGGGAGGGAGAGGAACTCCGGCAGCCTCGCCCCGGCGGCCTGGTTGATCGCGCGCCGCTGGAGGAAGCGACGGAGGAGGCCCTTCTCGGCGGCCGCCGGCGACGCGACGTACTCGCGGTGGAAGGAGGCGGCGGCGGCGGCGGCCGCCGGAGGGGGAGGCACGGCTTGGAGCGAGGGCAGGGCCGCCCCTGCCGCCGGCGACGCCGATCTGGGAGAGTCGAAGAGTCGCTTGGCTAGAGCTTTTCGGAGCGCCATCGGAGCGACCGAGACAGGGGAAGAGACAGGGGAAGAGAGAGAAAGGTGTCCGGCGACAGAGGAATGTTAGTGGGGTTTGGACCTTGCGCAAAGGTTGGGGAAGTAAGGCTTGGTATTTATAGGGGTCCAAAGTCAGAGGAGAATTCATAATTATAAAAAGTAAAAAGAAAGAAATAAATTTATTGAAAGTGCTACAACTTGTTATAAAAGTGCAATTGAGTCCTAAAACTTCTAAAAGGTGCAATCAAGTCCTAAAATTTATGACGAAAGTTTAATCGAGTCCTAAAATTTTCAAAAAGTGTAATTAAGTCCTAAAACTTATCAAGAATGTGCAATTGAGTCCTGAAACTTTTAAAAAGTGCAATCGATGGAAGGGCTTGATTCAATCAATTTGCCAAGTTTTAAGACCCGTTGATTGCACTTTTTAAAAGTTTTAGGACTCAAGTGCAATTTCGCGACAAGTTTTAAGGCTTAATTGCACTTTTAGAAAATTTTAGGACTAAATTGCACTTTCATAATAAGTTCTAGGACTTCTAATGCACTTATCCCTAAAAAGAAAAAAGAAAATAATTTGGCAATTTGGAGTTTGTATGGAATCTTTAAAATTTGAGGAAGGGAATCTCTACGAGAATCTTAGGTCTGAAATTGGGAGATTCTTTGGGTTAATTGCGGCAATGAACGAGAGATTTTTAGGAAACAAGAGTTAAGGTAAATACAACCCTCCTTCGATTTCCTTTATTGCAGTTAGCATCTCGCTTTATTTTTGGTCACTCTTCATTAGAATATGCTTTTGTCACGTGTTCAGAAGAGAAAGGTCAAGATCTAAGAGGTAACGAAATTCAAGCTCATTTATAGTTCATATTGAGAAAGGGTGGCTTCACATTAATAGTCGGGGCGACACGAGAAAGGTTGCTCATATAGCAAAAGAGCAAGTGGCTCGTCGAGGGGCCGGTGTGGTGATTGGAGGATCATAGGGTTTTAGCCGAAATGCTGGACATGCTACCGGTGTTGATCGAGACCGAGTCGCAGGAGTTGGGAGATTACTTATAATTTGCCAAGCAGAAGGACAATGTAGGTGTTTAGTGTAGCTTCTCCGTAGCGGTTACGGTTGTAAAAAAGGGCGTTGCCACTTTTATAGTGTATTTATTCATTCTCAAAATTGAAGCACTTTATAGCAGTTTTTAGGAATTATAAAACGAATCCTACTTTTACCACTAAATTATACTCGCTACAATGCTATTATTGTATATAAATGAAACTTTTGTCGAACAAAAAAAGGTAATCGGACATAATTAAGATAGGATCCAATAAAAAATAATGATGATGAAAATTATAGCATTGGTGTGTTTGTTTTGATTTTGTCTTGTCCAAATCTAAAGAGGTTCTACTAGGGGTGAGCAAAAAGGACCAACGACCCGAAAGTCCAAATCGACTCGAACAGATTTTTAAAAACCTTAATTGAAGTATGAAAATATAAATTATAGAAAATACATTACTTATGCTCGAAACACTTTAGTAAATTCACAAATAAGTTAAAAAGCATAGACATAAAAGAAAAAAGTGATTTTTGAGGTTAAAAAATACAATAACTAATCTATTCTTAATTTCTTTTAGAAGAATTTGGGTCAAGCCGGGACTGGCTAGTTCGATCGGGCACAAAAAATGCTCTGAGAAGCGGCCCGCCCGACCCATGCTCTCCTCTAGGTTCTACAGCTTTAAAAGTTGTGATTTATAACTTCATAACACAAAGTCGCATTGCAGCACGGTCACATTATATCCGAAGCTATTCCAAATAGACACGTTTAAGTCCGATGCCGAAGCGGTCAACATAACTCGTAAACTGGAATCAAGAATGTCCGTATTACACGAGAAAGATATCTACCTAAGAAATATTGGCAGTTCTCTCGATAGGCGACGATTGAAGGGAGATATTTTGAATCGGTTCGTTTCATTACAGACAAAGTGCACGACAAACATTTCTTTTGAAAGAGCATTTCTAGATGGAAAAGGGTGAGCGTATGCAATGATGTTTTCTTGCATAGTTTCGGAATGGCAAGTATGCGAGGCAAGGTCTCCTCTTTCCTTTGAGTCCCGATTTCTTGCGTTGCCCGTCTCGCTTTGCCTTGCTAAACTTGGGAACGAGCCAGTTCACAGTCGTTGCAAGAACAGAGCATCCTTCTTTTTCTCGGCATTAGAAAATCACCGGGTTCACGAAAAATGAATGATTTGAAAATATTTTTTGTTAAAATGATTGCTTGTATCGTTTACAAAAATGAATGGACGACAAATATTTTCTTCGTTCATAAAAATGTTTAAACATAAATTGATGTCGATAACGAAAACATTGCTCATTGACTAACCATCTCAAGCGATATAGGCGATCATTTTTAACAAGATATTTTGTTAAATCACGCATTTTTCGCGAAACAAACGAAACCTCAATGATATGAAATGAGGCTCTTTCCAAGACATTAAACGATTGATCGACAAAAAAAAAAATCATTTGGTGTTTTAAATGTATAAAATTGGATGATGTGTTAGTCCTATGTATTTTGAAAAACATCCCAAAAAGGAAAAGGAAAAAGAAATTCTGTGCATTTATGCGTTTTATGGGCCTATCATCAGAGTAACTCAATGTTCTCTGTACACCAAAGTTAGGGGCATGCTCTCTATTTTGCTTTTCTCAAGTGATAAATTAACTCCAGTGAAGATTAAATCACTGCTTACATCGCACTTCATACAAATTTAGGGCTGAAAACCAAACAAAAAGAAAATAATGGGATGAAATTAAAGCATTCGACACTTAATACGATTAACCCACCTTTGGTAGTGCCATTTGTTTTGGCTTAAAAAGATTCATTTAGTAAAAAAATCACTCAAATGGAAGGGATTAATTTCTTTCTCGCCATAATCTAGGGGACGGGCCTGGATACCGACTATGTGGAGGTCCAAGAAATACCTTGCAAGAACCATGAACATGTTAAGTCCACACCTTGGGCGATGTAGGTGGACCTGACTCAAAGTGGTTTGCACTAGGGGTGTGCAAAAGAACCGGGAACCACCCGGACCGCCCGGAACCGAACCGGAACCGATGGTTCCAAAGGGAATAGATCCAGTTCCCGATTTCAATTTTTCGGAACCTGTGGGTACCAGTCCAGTTCCTGGTTCCAGGTGTGGAATCGCCTACTCGCCCATCTGGACCGGACTGGTAATATAATAATAATATATAATATAATATAATATAATATATTTATTTAAATTTTAAATTTAAAAAAAAAATCATAAATCCCTAAACTAAACCTGACTCGCTTGACGCTCATAGCCTCACACTGAGCCGAGAAAGAACTTCTTTCGCTTTCGCCTCACGCTCACTTTCACTCTCTCACTCTTATTGGTCGATGCTCACCTCACTGTCTCCGACTCTCTGTCTCCGTCTCCGTCCTTATCTGGTGGGACCGATTCCATGAACCCACCCCGGGAACCGGACCGGACCGGCGGTCCGGTTCCCAGGTGGATCCATGGAACCAACGGGCAGTTCCCGGTTCTAATTTTTCGGAACCGGTCCCTAGTGAGCGGTTCCCGGTTCTAGGATGGGAATAGCCTACCCAAACCGGGCTCACCCCTAGTTTGCACTTAGTTTGTGGGGTTCAATCCGGTGACCTTCAATTTCCGAACTGAAAATCTCCTGACGCCCTCAATCAACTGCACCGATTGTGGAGGTTGGGTTACTTAAATCCCTCGATAGAAAACCTACCAATGTCATCCATAATCATATTACTTGTAAACACACAACTTATATTCCGTCCTTAAAAAAATTTCAGCTATTATCAAGTAGTCATTTCTTTCTATTTTCGGAACTTAAGATTAGTAGCACTTGTCTTCATAGTTCGAAGTACTTAAGTTTTCAGTTTTCATCAATCAAGTCTACGTGCATTCCGCATATTGATCCAACTTTTAAAAAACCAGTTTATATATCAAAGGAAGAGGTATTCATTTGCTCAATAAAAAAAATGTTTAATGGATAGAATCTTACCATTGTGTTGTTCAAAACCTACCGAAGGTATTATTATTTCCTGTTTGGTAAGAAAAACTAGTGATATTTTTATTGGGATAATGATACAAATAGTTCATGAACTTTGGCCCAATGTACAATGTGATCCTTGAACTTTTAATTTGTAGTTCCGAAACTTTAGTTCAATGTGCAATGTAGTCCCTGAACTTTTAGTTTGTTCAATATAGTTCATAAACTTTTGGTAGATGTTCAATTTAATTCCTGAACTAGATGAAAATGTTTAGTATTGTCCTTTCATTAATTCAAATTCCGAGACAACATTGAATATATTCACATAGTTCAGGACTAAACTGAACATGTAGTAAAAGTTCATAGACCACATTGAAAAAACTGAAAATTCATGAACCGCATTGCACATTGGCTTACAGTTCAAGGACTATATTGAACAAATTAAAATTGCAGGTACCACATTGCATATTGAGCTAAAATTCAGAAACTATTTGTGTCATTTTTTTTTTATTTTTGTTTGATTTTCAACTATTGTCCAAAAACCCTTTTTTTTCGTGCACGACAACTTTTTTTTTTTTTTTTTCGTTTTCTAAGCTTACACAATTACTTATCCCAAGGTATACGCAAGCCAAAAGGCCCGTCCACGAACGTTGCCGATGTCTTCCACTCCCACACTATACGCAAGCAAAGGCCATGCCTAAGCCGTGGCCCAACAAAGAGCCTCCGCTCACCGTCTCCTTTTTGAAAAAATCATGCGCATAATGCCATGAAAGGGGATGACCAATCGGGCTGGTCCAACTAGAAAATCAAATCGAACCGGTCTCACACGACCCGATCCCGGGCAAGTGTTCACATGGGGACAGGGTAGGTTCCTAGGTAAAAGATTGGGAATCGGCCTTAACAGGTTTGATTCTCAGTTTTATACAATAAATCGTTGGTTAAACCCAAGAATCGCCGCTGCTTGAGAAGGGAGAAAATTATCCAAAAAGTTTTAAAGTTATCATACAAAAGCCAATTCAGTACTAAACTTTTCAATTGTGCTAATTTATT